AAAAAAAAAAAAAAAAAAAAAAAAGCAAACAAAAACTCCCTTAGGCTCATATCTATAAAACCAGCCTATTCTTGCCTTTCCTTTACTTTAGAATGTTGGTGACGAGTTATTGTCTCAGTTACTTTTCTCATTGCTGAGACAAAACACCTGACACCCAAAATTAAGGAAGGAAAGGTTTACTCAGCTCACAGTTTATGGAGATTTCAGTCCATACGTGGCTGTCTCCAAGGCAGAGTGGCACACGGCAGAGGACAGCAGTTCATGGTGGCAGAAGACAGCAAAACAGCAAGAGCAAAAAAGGGCAGAAGTAGTGGTAACAGTGGCAGAAAAAGAGCAAGCCACTCCTTTCCTTACACAGCATCCAAGTGATCTGCCCCAGGGTGGGTGCAACACTAACACCCATAATCCCAGCAGCACTTACACCCATAATCCCAGCATTGGATCATGAATTAATCACAAACTCTAGAAGCCTGCCTCAGTGACTACATGAGGCTTGGGGGGGGGGCACCTAGATATAAACTACAACAATTTTCTGGGGGGGAGTTGCAGTACCAGGATCGAACTCACGGCCTTGCACTTTCCAGGCAGGAACTAATGACACTGAGCTACATCCTCAGCTCCTATAACAGTTATTGAATTACTATTATTATTCATTTTAAATCAAATGTTACAGTGTGTGTTGGTAAAGGAGAAGCACAAAGTGACTGATTCAGCCACAGGAATCCTAAACTCTGATTACCTTTTCATTCCTTAGAAAGATTTGTTTCCCTTGTTAGCTCAAGCAAGCAGAAGTTTTGGGAATTACATCATTTTGTTTTGTTTGCAAGGAGGGCGTAATCAAACCCAGGGTCCTAAAGCGGGGATAATGGCACATTCCTGTAATCCCAGCACTTTGAAGGTTGAGGCAGGAGGACTGCCATGAGTTTTTGGCCAGCCTGGGCCATATAGCCAGACCTTGTCTCAAAAGTAAAACAAAACAACAAAGGCCTCAGCCTCCCTAGTGCTGGGATTACAGTCATGCACCAACATGCCTGGCTAAGTTTTTACATTATTTTAAAAAAACCCTCATCCTTTTTATTTATTAAGTCCGCAGTACATACTTAATAAATGCTTATTACAAACAGAATGTTCTCTATGGTCTTTGTTTTCTGTGCCTAGGGATTACTAACCATTCCTCCCCCATAGTGTGCTTGTATGTACAAGTGAAGCAGGGGCAAATGGGTTAAAAATCCCAAATTCTGAACTATGGGAGACAAAAGAAACCTTTTGAAAGTTGGGCCTTGGCTCACAGATATTCTTCTCACAGTCTGTTAGGGTTCTCTCTAGGAATTTGCTGGCTACATCATAATATTCATCTATTCTATTTGACTGTGGGCTTGCCAATGGGTTAGTGAATTACTGTTTTTAGAGTGCTGAGTGAAAGATAAAAATGAAAGAAAGAGATATTACTTTGGCAACTGTAGGTCCTATTTGCATATTAGGACCTTGCATTTTATTTTATTATTATTATTTTTTTTTTTTTTTTTGCAGAACCAGGAATTGAACTCAGGCCCTTGGGCTTGCCAGGGAAGTGCTTATTCCACTGAGCCATCTCTCCAGCCCCAATGCATTTTATTTTTGTACCTAGTGATTGTCTAATAGATTAATGCTGTTAAAAAGTAAATAAGGGGCTGAGGAGATAGCTCAGTGTAATAAGTGCTTGCCTGGCAAGTGCAAGGTCCTGAGATTGACCCCTGGTACCACAAAAAAAAAAAAAAAAAGTAGATGATACAACATTGTTTGACATAAAAGCTTAGAAAAACTATATGAATTATAACTTCAATATTTTTTTTTAGCATACAGAATTTTCTTCATTGATGGTTTTAAAGATCAAGCATCTTGACATTCATGTTCTAAACTTAAGGGTCAATTTTGCAAATAAGTGGTTTAACTAGTATATTGGTACTTATACCCTTAAGCCTAGGCAGAACTATGCCAAACCAATCAGTGGGCTGATTTACTAATCACACACCCTTAATCCCA